TAATTCTTTAACTTATGTATACTTAGCTCTGCTACCACAGCATTGAGCACTTTATGCCTAGGTAGATTCTACCCCCACATTCATTTACATATGTATATATATAGACACACTTATGTAGTAGGAGAAGTAGTTGTTGTCATCGGAGTGACGACTGTTTTCAAAGCTATACCGAGAGATGGTTGCTGTGGAAGGCCGCTTATTTCAAGAAACTTTGGAGACAGCAGTGAGATTGTGTCAGTGGTGAGCTTGAATAAAGACTGTGATGGGCTTTATCAAGTTTATTAACGATAAGTATTGTACTAATTTCAGGAGTCGCTCCTTGTTAAGAACATTACTCGCTGTTTAATAAAGCAGTTGAATTCGTGGGAGTGTAGTGTTTTTCTGTCGGTTGGATTATACCATAACATTACAGTCAGTGTAACGTGAAAGATTTATTATCGCAAACTTAAGCTTGATATCCGATCTAAAAAAATATTAGAAGTTTCTGAAGCATTTCGTCAAGAGAAAGTGCGGGTGAATGCCTTCAGGTTTTTCATTTTCTTCAATAAAAACACGTTAATAATTTGCGGTTGTTATTTGCACCAATCGTTCTTTCTTTGTTTCTGTAAGAGGAAAAAGCTCTCAAAGACAAAAGAAAATCTTGTTTAGTACATGCCGCTACCTTCCGAAAAACAATTACCCAGATTGCAAATTTTAGCGATAAAATAGAGCGCACACGCAAACAATGCATATTGCAGCGTCCATGGCAACTAATGACTATCACATTCTCTTAGCTTCTCTACCTGATATCAACTACCCGAAAGCAGAATGCGAGAAGTCTCCGTTGATATTCGATACAAGGAAATAACAATTGCTTAGCTGTTAGATAATGACCATACAGGATCAAAAAGCATCTTATGAGCTAGCTTTTCTGCAACAGATATTGCGTTGGTTCAGAAAATATATCGCGACATGCAATGAGGATTCTTTAGCGCGCGAAACAATTTCAACATAGAGTGAGAGAACTAACGTTTTTCAACTACTTTCTTTTGTGATCTGATGGTGAATGCTTTTATGTTTTTTACCAACGTTGTACCTCCCGCCTTTCCCACCCCTATCTGCTCTGAACCATGATTGTGCGTCTTAGTCGAAGCCTCGTATTCAGTGTCACTGATAAAACACGCAGGCGTAATTTTCCTCACTTATGCTGATGCCTGTGTTTCTTTTGCAGTTTCATCGCGAGAGTACTTCTACTTTTCGCTGCTTTGGAAGTACGATGCAGTTCCTATGTTATGCAATCAAGCCCTCAGCAGGATCTTGCGGACACACTTCTTCTACCAAACTGCAACCGCTTTGACGTGAGGCAGAATTGTATCAGGGGCTCTCTATTTCGCACCTTTGACGGTACATGCAACAATCTCTGCAATATAACTAACGGAGCGGCCGGATCGTCATTTTTGCGTCTCGATCGCCTCGATCCACCCAATACGTTTCAACAACCAGGCAACCTACCTCGAGTTAAATCAGTTACTGGCGGTTTTCTCAGAAACGCAAGAAACATCAGCAGAATAGTCTTCAAAAACACCGACGCCAACGTAAACAACACCGCTCCAAACTTTACCCACGTGACAATGACATGGGGACAATTTTTGGATCATGACCTAACTCTAACTCGGTTAGTTCCTGGTATTGAGTGTGGAGTGAATAATGCACCATGTGAAGATCAAGAGGGATGTACCAACATCGACATCCTAGAAGGTGATGAGCTTCTTAATAATAAAAGTGCAAGATGTATTCCACTTAGGAGAGCAAAACAGAATAACGAGGGCGAGCAGGTAAGTTTTGAAACGACAAATTGCTATGTGTGTATGTATACTATAGATTATGCGATCAAGTAAAAATCTAGGAATAATCTCAAGTAGTAATATAAATCCCCCACGGGATACCTTATTTAACCGATGAAATGACATAACAATTTCTATCTCATCTGAAATTTCCACTTGAATGCTGAAGGAAATGTCGCGTACCAGAAGTAGTTCTGCAAGAATTTCGGGGATCATACTTCGACAAGCTATAGCGACTGGTTGATTGTTTGCTTGATTTGGAGGGCGCACTCGGGTTTACTTTTTCCACACAGGGGCTGCCGTTTTCATGATGAGATGTCCACAATAAAGATTGATTGAGGTCGAAATAATTTTTTTGTCGATCTGAGTTTTTCCAGACTCGATAAATATTCGTTTGCTTGCAGAGCAGACCCATGAATTTCCTCAGATTCCCTGTCGATATATACCTTTTAATTTGAACAGAAAGCTAATTTTTGAATAAGCTTTTGGTAGACCGTCCTACTCGACACTTCTTTATCATAAAGTCGACGGACTATTGTAAAGAAGATATAATCATCCATGAGATGAAAGGAAAAACAAAAGAACCTTTAGGAATACTGAGAAAATCGATAGCTGGCAGAAGCCAAGACGCCATAACGGCCTGAGACAACAAATCACAACAACAACGGCCGTGCCCTTGGGATAAACCAGAGTGCACTCGAACTCTGTTTTGATAAATGTGAAGAAGATAGATCGAGGTTTACCGTGATATTTTTCTTTTTTCCACTAAAAACCGTACATACCTCAAATTCAAATGATAGTGATACCGTATGTGCCCTCAACCGTCTCAAATAAGTCATTGCGGCTCGACTTCGATTTGCAATTTGTCCCTCACATTTCAACCGAAGCCATTAGAACTGCTCTTGAAGCGAAGCTCTTTCTGTGCTTTATCAAGGGAGCTGTGTCCCAACGGCCATAAAATGTCAAAGAAAAAATTTCGGTACTAAAACGTGCGACTAGCCTAGCTTAAAGTTTTAAAAATTGGACCGTGACGCCATGTTTGATAACGTCATGGTATAGACAAAACTTTCTATGGCCCGGACTGTCAAAGTTCCTGAACTCCACTCCTGCACATCAATGAGGTCACCTATTGTTCTTTCAAGGGGAGCAAATCTTGGCACTACTTTTTCCATTTTGTTTTTACAGAAAGCTGCTCGCTTGTTGACCTCCACTGTGAGGAACTATCGTTCGCGTCTCTGATTGGAAGAACGATATATTTTCACAGTCGTTCGCTTTACGATTGGTTGGTTGGGTATTTCGTATGAATTTTACGCGGACTTTTCTTTTCATTTGTAAATCTCAGTATGTATGAATTATAAATAATTTCATCATAACCTGTGGCATAAGTTCTAAGGTTTTTTTTTTTTTTTGTAAGAAATAACATGCAACTTGAATATGAGAAATACAAGCCTAAATGCCTGTTTCAATATACTTTTATACCTTTTTCAATGTATCTCGTTTTCCATGCCAGATGAACGACATTACAGCTTACATCGATGGTTCACAAGTATATGGCTCAGACAAAGAAACAGCAGAAAGCCTGCGCGACCAGGAAGATCGCAGATTTCTGGATGTGACGCCAGTCGCAAAAGCTGCAGTGCGGCAGTGTGGGCTGCTTCCAGACGCTGAGAAAGATGCTTTTTGTAGATCTCCAAATCCAAAAGACAAACCGTGTTACCGTGCTGGCGACGAAAGAGTAAATGAAAACCAAGGTAATTCCGAGCTTTTTAAACGCTTGGCTTGGATCTCCATTTTATGCAGTATGCAGTTTTAAAACTTGTATTTCGAGTATCCAAATCCAGCTACCAGCTTTATTTTTTGACCGATCATACGTTACTTCCGCTTGAATCTGAAACTGCGTCGCTGGAAAACCTTTAATAGCTAGTAATACCCTGCAAATCATTGTGTTAACATACGCAATTTTTTTTTTCATATCACAGTTTTAATCAACTAAATGCTTTCTGTCCTGCACCGCTTAGTGATGCGATAAAATTCAAAACTACCGCTGATTAAAGTTTCATGATTCAATATAATCTGGAATCCAAACCATGATTTCAAGCTCCACATCCCATGCTTTTCAAGGCCGATCCCTGTTATCCAAAAATCTATTCCCCCCATCCTCAACTACAATTAAGTGTTAGAAGTTAAAACAATTGTATAGCAAATGCTACAAAATGTTATTCCCGTCTATCTCCAGCTTTAATGGCAATGCATACTTTGTGGGTTCGAGAGCACAATCGCATCGCCAAAAAACTAATCGAATTAAATCCAAAATGGGAAGTTGAAAAAGTATTCCAAGTGACAAGGAAAATCGTGGCAGCACAATTACAGCACATCACATACAATGAGTGGATAAAAGTGTTATTCAGTGATTCCGTGGTGAGTTATGGCTACGTGGTTAAGTAGAAAGAAAGCTAGTATACTTTTGTTATTCAACTACCCTGTTCGGTTTTACCTCAGTTTTACGGGTATGTGTCCGAACTTTTGAATCATCGGCCATAATTCTGAGCTCTCAATGACATTTTGCAGTTTGTATGTTAACTGTTTGATTAGAATTTGTAGTTATAGATCGTTTTCACTCGCGTGGTAGCCAGCTAAAAAAATTTTGTTGAAAAAAAAAAAAAAAACACCAACAAAACAATAACGAAGGGCTAACGCTCGAAACGTCAGCTTTTAAACTATTTGCGGTGGCCAATTAACTCAGTTGATGATACTTTATTACCCTGTTGCCTCCTCATACACAATCGTATCTCAACAAAAGGTTAATGAAACGCTCCCCCAATCGGCACATGTCATAGGTTCCTTTCAAAATACTCGTGGTATTCACGCAGTCTCTAATTCATGATTGTCGAGGGCTTCGGTAATTATTGTGGGTGTTTTCCTTTAGATTGTTTTCAGCCTAAGTCGCTTATTTTAACCAAAATATTACGGAGAAGTGGAAAACAAACAAAACGTTGCATTTTTAATAAGATTTTGTATTTTTTTGTTCTTGGATTGTGGGCTTTGTGCTCTAGCTGGAAAGGGAAGGTCTGTTGTTGGAGCCACCTGGTAAATTCTTTATGGGATATAATGCATCGATTAATGCAGGAATATTAAACCACTTTGGAACAGCAGTTTTGAGAGTGGGTCACACCTTAATTCGATCAAGCTTTGGATTAATTACCAATTCAAGGGTCAGGCGCTCCAGTAAACTCATTTATCGCGGACGTACTGCAGTGGACTTTTTCAATCCAGCCCCCTTGCTACTGGGACTCAAAGTTAACCTCATTGGAGAAATCTTATATGGTCTCGTTAACGAGCTAGCCCAGCTCCCGGATAAGTATGTATCAAAGCAGTTTAAACAATAGGTTGAACTACACATACCTTTTGATCGGTTCTTATGCATAGATGACGTCGAGTATATTCTATATTGTCGTGCTTGTGTGCTGTAGTCAGTCCCAAAATACGTCAAAATATTGATAGAATATAAGTCACAAACTCGGCTGCGCCTCTTGTGCCAATTTTTTGTTCCTGTCATACTTTGCTATAATCTGGAATTTATTGGTGAACAGGCACTCGGAAACATAGCATCTACTCATTAAAATACGTTTTGCGAGATTGTTTGGCTGCAAGGATGATGAAGTGTTGACAGCCTGAGTGGTGCTGGTACGGGCCAATCAAGGTAATTTGGGATTATCAACTGAGTTGATAACGAGAATTGACCTCCGTAAGGAGTTTATATGCTGACGTTTCAAGCATTAGCCCTTCATCCATTCGCTCTGACGAAGGGCTAATGCTCGAAACGTCAGATTTTAAACTCTTTACGGTGACTAATTTACGTCATCAACTCAGTTGATAATACCAAATATCCCTGTTATAATCTCACCGACGTAGCACTACAGTTTCTTCAGAAACTTACCTCCTTTAGCCAGATTCAAGATAGTTTAGAACGAAGTTTTGTTAAACCAAGGCCAATTTAAAAAATATATTTATATTTAACAAAGAGAACGCTTGGAAGTACTTGTTATCTAGTTTTTAACTAGGTTTCTCAAAGTCTCACCAATCCAAGATTCCTACGTTCAATAAAATAGTTAACTAATTATGATGAAATTTTCTTCCTCAGGAACTTTGTTGACGTCATAAGAGAACGTGTAATAATAGAAGGACCAACTATTGATGGTATTGTTGGCGATCTTCCGGCAATAAACATTCACCGCGGTAGGGATCACGGCTTACAAACGTTCGTAAAATTCCGCGAGATTTGTGGAGCAGGCCCAAGTAATAACTTTGGTCAACTTCGTAATACCATAAATCGCCCAGAGATCATGAAACTGAGACAAGCCTATGAAAATGCAAAAGACATCGATTTATTTGTAGGCGGCATCCTCGAGTTTCCCACTCTTGGAAGCGTGCTAGGTTTTACGTTCACCTGTCTTATGACCAAGCAGTTTAGACATCTGCGACATGGTGATCGATTCTGGTATGAAAGAAATGACCCTATTGCCGCATTCACTCTTCCTCAGCTTGAAGAGATACGAAAGACGTCATTGTCCCGAGTATATTGTGACAATACAGACAACGTGATCTTCATTCAGAAAAATGCCTTTAAACTCCGAACTGGTAACAACGGAGACAATCCTGTAATCGATTGTGACTTTATTCCCAGAGTGAACTTGGAAGTTTTCGGAGAGGAGGAAGAGCCCATTGGTAGGCGTTTGTTAACTGTGATTAATATAACTCAAATACACTTTAGGTATAATTGAGTGGCACTTCTTAGCACGAGTCATTAAGCAGAAGTATTTTGTATAGTATGAACTGTCATTGAGTTTTACACTGTCTCTCCCCTCCAGGGGATGTGACTTGTTAGAGACAATGAGAACTGTTATAGAAGACATAGAACCCTGGAGAAATGCTGCACATGCATCTCAGTCTTATAGTCGTTTATGCGAGAAAAACTGGATAATTTCTGACATTTATTGCTTCAACAAATTGATATTTTCATGAGGCCCATAATGTTTCTTACTAATCTCTGTTAAATTGATCGAGAGCCACTGCTCTAAGAAAATGAGTTATACTATTGGTTCCATTTTTTTAGGTAATAGCTTCATGTTCATTTTATCGAATTTTCATTTGTTGGACTGTCTTTTCTTGAGATACGATGCGAGCTTTGCGCTGTAAAGGCATTATCTATCAACTTTTGATTATGTATCCTGCTGACATTTTTGCATGGCTTGAGAGTATCAAACAATGATTGTTGCTTTCTCATCACTTTCCATAGATGAACTACCGGGTATGCCTACTGTGCAAGGTATGTGGCACCGCATTATTCTGTTCGCAAGATTTTGTTATAAATCACAAATTCCAAAACAAAATGTAGCTGCAGACGAATTTTACTAAACGTCATCGCAAATGCTGACACTAAAATTTGCCTTTATAAACTAATAGCAGAGGTATGCTTATTATTACGAATATACTTGATCAGGAGAAAAAGAAAGGAATCTACAACGGATATCGATAACGCGAACATAAACACTCACAAATAAAGTAACGCTGCACGATATAAGCGTGGATAAGTAAGCTAGCCCTTCTGCGAAAAATCAAAGGAAAAAAACGCAAATGGACACAAGTTTTGCTTGTGAAGCTTTACTTCTTCCTTCATGACAATTTTTACCTTTTCCACTACTTCTTGCGAAGGGTTTTCATGAAAACATAGTTTGTCTTTTCAAACTTTTTTTTTTTTTTCTGGGAAGGTTACCAGTCAGCCGTCTCCCTACATACAATATAGGGCGTGCACAACTGGCAGTCAAAAAGTATGGTGATTCTCAAACCTGAATAATTATTCCTCCATGTGGGACTATTATAATGCAGTGGAAGTTCTTTCTCTATATATATTTCCATCATCATCATCATCATGGTACACAACTTCGTCATCACTGTTATTGTTATTGTTATTAATTTCCATTTCTTGTTATCTTATTTTCTCAAGATTGTCCTCAGGACTTTGTTCCATTTAGAGGTGGTTGTATCAGATTCTTCCTTACCCCTACCATAACGTTCGAGGCTGCAAGATCATTTTGTATGAGCTTTAAGACTAAAGACAATAAACTGGGAGATCTTATCGAGATTCGATCACTTGAAGAGAATGCTGAAGTTGTTTATCTTGCCCCTGATAATGGTACGTACTATAAAAACACAGTGTGACAAACTTCAATGATGATCAAGTTATCTTCTGAAAGGTCAATTCAAAACACACTCCAGTTATTGATGCAGTCAAATCTTCAAGACCCACAGAAAAATAGAAGGAAAAGGACGAGAAAATATTAGCGTTACTCATTATTTATTTATTTATGGTTTTTTTTAAATTTTGAAGTTTAAGGATGGTACTGAGAAGTCTCTTTTCCCGTAGGTTCTCTTTGTGATTGCTCCTTGCAATTAACATCATTCCCCTTGTTTGAACATGTTTCCAAAAACAGATAAATGAAAAAGAAGGATAAATAGAAAAAAATTGAGGTAATTATTTCCAAAATAGCTTCAATGAGGACTCAAGGAAGACAAGCTCCCGACTAACAGACTATTTATACTCGTACATTCGCTCTGCGTAGAACTAAATTTTATTATGAAATACCTTTAATGCAGTAGGTATATCTCGCGGCTCAGAGCAGGGGCCTTCCTCAAAACACTAATGAGGTGGTATGAATCAAAATCTAACACGAGATATATTTTCATCAATTCATCTTTTCTCTTCTCTAAGGGCAAAGATATTACATTGGTGTGACGGACTTAGAAGAGGAGGGTGTTTTTCGCCTGAATGGAGACACAAATCCAGCTCCATTTCTTAACTTTCCACCTGGCTTTCCTCAAGATTTGATAACTGAAGAACAAAGAGACTGTGTTGTCTTAGCAACGCATCCGGATACCACTTTTTCACTATGGTACACAGTGCCTTGCACTAACAGTTGGGCTTTTATATGTGAGTGTGAAGGTCCGTGCTTTCAGTCCACCGTGGCTGTTTAAATGAAAAACTATAGACTCTCGAATAAGTCACACCGTAGACGAGAATCAAGCTGTAATTTAATTAGACTGATATATGATCTTGAAGTTTTCAATCACGCCGTGACATTATACCAAGGATCCACAATACCACCGGCATAAGTAACATTGCGCGACTCCCTCAATCGCGCAATGTTACTTATGCCGGTGGTATTGTGGATCCTTGGTATGATGTCACGGCGTGATTGAAAACTGATTAAAATCATGAATAAAAGCGTTTATTACACTTTTTTGTAAAGTGATATCAATTAATCATTTCAAGATATGGCAAATAATAATATGGTTACTATACATATACTCAGAATTACGTTCCCATGCTCGTATCACACTTTATCATTGGTTGAGATTTAGCTAGACGCATAAAAAAAGAAAAAAATTGCGTGTTCCCGCGGTCTCTTTTTGGTTTGTAAAAAATTATTGTGACCACGTCCGAATTCGAGGATTATCTGGTGTGTAAACAAACAGAGAAATGTATGATCTGTGCATGTTTTTGAAAAAAACCTCTTTCGACCTAACTCTTCTGGGGTTACTAAAGGAAACGAGTCTTGCCTTCAGTCTGGTGGTAACTTTAAAGGATAAGAAACGCACGGGGAAGGACTTGCTCATAATGCTCGCTTCGTTTCGCTTCGTCTTGAGCGCCCCCAGTTGTTTTTTAACAAAGAAATGATTGGAGCAACATGGTTGATCTCAATAATTTCAGGCGGACCGAAGTCGATCTCGGGAGGTTGCCTCTATGTCCTCGGAAGGTTTTCTTTCTCAGTTATTGGCGCTTGAAGACAAAAAGTAGCGCAAAAAAGGAAAAAAAATGAAATCGTGAGCTTTTTCGAGCTCAACATATTTTATATCTTGTAATGAATGCTCTCAGAAAGCAATTCTGGCCTTGGTCTCCTTTCTTTGGCAGCATAAATGTGGGGCGTGGAAGAAACACACTTACAATTAAGAACAGTTTTATAACTAAACAAATTTTTTTGCATTAGGATAACACTATTGGCTAGAGCACGGTGGCCCTCTTTTCAAGCTGATCATCATGATTTTGATAAGTCATTCTATAATAATGATTATAACAACAATATAATAAACAAAAACTATCAATAAACAAAACAAAGTGTTTTCGGCACCAAACCTTACTATATCCACAAGGGTTACGGGGTAAAAAATTCGATAAAAAAGAGCCGCCAAACCGAAAAAAAAAAAACAAACAAAAAAACGCGCTGGTCAAGGTTGAGCTCACCAGGGCTCAATCAGTGTCTCCCTACGGATTTTCAATTCTAGCAAACACCGTTGAGTAACAAATGATGGAGGGATCGTTGCAACTATTGCTAATTCAGTTAATTCTTGTCTGAGAATCTTGCGTCTGTTCTCAGGTAAGGAGGTTCGACATAGAAATATTGGCAAAGGATCACCCGATCTTCTTCGTCCCTCACTTGCTGACTCTCTTTGCGTGGGAGAACATTGAAAAATTTGTCAAACGGCAATGACAACCATCTACTATCAATCGCACTCCAACGTTTCTGACACCATCGCACGCAGAACTCTAAATTACTGAATGTTGTAAATCGCGCTTTCTATGACAGCAGGACATTTGATGGCGGTTTTACATGAAAAAGTCCGATAAGCATTAGGTTGGATTAAGTGCATATCGTCTCACATGAATGTTTCTGCTTTGGATTTTTCTCGATTTGACTGTCTTGTCTTGAACGAATTGCCGCCTTTGATTGAAGTGTACTTTGTGGTGGACTGGGTTCTGTCTGAGCCGGATCGCATTCTTGGATCCCTTCCGCGTACAGTAGCACTGAGGGCGATGCGGAATTTCTCGTTTAACATCATGTACAGCCATGGGTTTACCGCACTGTTTGCGTGACCCAACCAGAAGCAAAGGGTCATTACGTAATATGGAAGTTTCCGATAGACGTCAGGACGATATGCAATAAGTAAATGAAAAAAGTGAGCCGGGAACCAACAAAGAGCGAAAACAGCAGTGATTATGACGAGCATGCGCACAACTCTTCGCTTCGTAATCTCGTTACGTTTCTCAATTTCGGACGAAGCTTCACCTGGCATGCTTCGGTGCCAAAGCGTGAGGCAGATCCGAGAATAAAGGGTAATTATTATGATAAGTGGAATCAGGTACATAATTAGAACGAGGTAAGTGTAGAAACCCCTCGTCCCAAATTTGCCAAGCTCGCCAAATTTTGGACCGCAAACCAAACCCTCAGTTTGAGGCCAATGAACAAGCCTCCAAATAATAGCAGCTGGAATGGAGAAAATCATTGCACTCAACCAAATAAACACATTTAGGACTCTAGCCTTTCGAAACGTCTCAAAACGGTGAAGAGGACGGGCAACTGCAAAGTAACGATCCACTGACATAATCAACAGACTTAAAATGGATGCGCCGAGTGTGACATAAAACGTGAAAAACGTAAGCGAACACGTGACATGTCCAAACATTCCCGTTGCCCATACCCCACCATCGTGCAGGATATGCAGGGAGACAGGCATAGCAATCAGAGCCACCAGAAGGTCAGCGACGGCCATGTTGACAAATAGGAAACCAGTCAGCGATCTTGTTTCTGGTCTTCTTTTGATGATGAAGATCAGAAGAAGATTTCCGACCACTGCCACAAATATGGTCATCGAATACAGTACTGTGAAGATCGTCTTATGTAAAGAGCTGGCGCCAGGTGACTGCCCTGTGTAAAGCAAACAGAGGGGTATGTTCTGTATTGTTTTGTTTTGGTTTTTCTTGTTATTGCATGTTTGCAATATCTGCCATATCAAAAACCAGAGTGAAAGCTGACGTCGATGGGGCCCGACTAGTTGACGAGAGCCGGTCTGGAAAAGCCTGTATCTTATGATCTTGAGTCAGATATTTTCCCGTTCGGCCCTCCCACTCCGTCGAATGAAAAAGTAATTTACATGTTTTTTTTTTTTTGCGTCCGTGCCCTGTGTTAAAAATCATATCATTAACCTTTAGTTACACTCGAACAACATTTTTTTTATTGTCTGGACGGCTTAGTCTCTCAACCGGCCGCAACATGAAGAAATCATTTATTTTCTCCTGATTCATATGGTAATCAGTGTTTTGTATCTGGTGATTTTTTTTTTAGATTCCGACATAAAAGCACCAAAATTCGAACCAAATAGGATTTTAAAGGAGTCTAGACAACAACCTCACGAAAAATAAGATAGCCTGGCATTATTGGAAGTACTTTCTAATCAGTCCATTAGAAATGATTCTTTTAGCCTATTATGCCTTCATTAATCGGTTTTAATCATATCTATTTCGGCTTTCTTTCAGTTGCCTTGTAAGAGGTGCCTATACAGTAAGAGAGGCCATTGACGCACACGAGCATGGCATTAGTGGTCATTCAGTAATGATAATGACGAAAGCTCTTTTGGTAATCAGCGAATTATTGACTCGCTATCAAATGGCATTTATTGAATTTAAAACTCGTGAAAAAATGCTAAGGCTAAGGAAGCATGACTGCATGTTGAAGCCCCCTAACCTCAGAAGAAAAAGGTCACACGCATACAAGATAAAAAGTGCCGGGAGAAAGTCAATAAAATGAACTCGTCAAAATTTGACGGATTCAAATTAAGAGTTTTTGATAAACTGATTATCGCATGACGCCATTTGATGGACAAGCACATGATGGCGTTGAGTGTGATTTACTTTGGCTTAGATCCCATGATACTACAAAGTTATTTCCTCCGACAGGTTTTCAAGGTGCAAGTTAATTTGCTATCTAACTAACTTCGCGATGAACAGATTAAACAGGCGACAAAAGAGATGCTACACGTTCTCTGAATTTTAACGCCTCGACTGTAAAGAAAAACAGTGCTGCAATATCTTTACAAGGACGTGCCTTTCCTTTCAACATACACCGAGACTACCGCAGATAAATGGTAGCATCCTGCTATTGCATACCATGGCGACGTCAGTATGCAACGAGCTTCCTTCTCACGTCTTCCCAGTTTTACGTTGATAAATAGCACCATAATTAGTTCAATGTAAACGGCTCGTTTCGCTTTCTTCCCATTCGAAGCATTTCATGGAATGACAATCGTAAAATTACACGTTGTTCAGTTGAACATAAATCTCTAGTGACCCTCTCCTTTCAAGCACACACACCATACAATAAATTGCTTATTTGGCGAAAAATATGTTTCATAATCTCGTCAAACGAGTTGAAGACAGACAAAATGCAACTCAAACGACCATTGGCCACAACGGCAAGACGTGAATATGAAAGCGATCTTCGCAGTTATGAACACTACTTAAGCAGTAGCGAAAAGAAGGCCTGAAAATAATTCAGGCCCGTACGGGATGAACCCATGACCTCTGCGATACCGATGCAGTGCTCTACCAACTGAGCTAACAAGCCAACTGGGAGTTGGTCGCTGTGTTGGTTCCAAATAAACCCGTGAAGTGGTGAATAAACGGCTGTAAATATATGGAATTCGTATCCCGTACAGGCCTGAATCTTTTTTCAAGCCTTCTTTTCGTTACTGCTTAAGTAGCGTTCATAACTGCGAAGATCGCTTTCATATTCACGTCTTTATCCGCAGTTCAAATATATGAATTTCGTATATTCACAGCCGTTTACAACGACAAGAGTTGAATTAAATGGAAGGAGTTGCCATATCAGCCTTGTAAACACAGTAAAAATGAGTAGACGATAGTTGAATAAGGAAAAAAAATGTTTACGTGACAGCCTACATTATTCTATGCTTTCTTTCAAAGCCCTTTATCAATCACGCAAAATGTTTGAGATTCGACTTACCGTCAGAGGAGTTCTCTGTATCTGTAGAGTTTATTGTAGTGTTCATCGTAATTTTCAAGAGTGTACTTCTTGATGTCAGCAACAAGAAAATATGCTTCCTTTCTCTCCACACCTAGAACTGACGAAAAGTCGAATCTGCTGTTTAACACTTTACGCATTTGGAACACGATAGCACATATTGCTTAAATTGCTTACGTATTTGTAAAGTGAATCTAATTAGCGAGCCTTTCGATCAAATTAATATATCCAGAAGTTAGGGTGATAAGGATATATTACGACAGAGCGGAAATATAGGTTTTCACAAGAAAGATATTCACTGTGTATGATACCCGAAATATTAGCCACATACTGTGTATATGGAAGCCTACAGTTCAGTTCGTAAATGATGCTGTAAGCTGATAGAACATACCAAAATTTCTAGGTATGCCTTGCGACGAGGGAATTGTCCGTAAAGAAGGCTCAATTATAAAATGTTAGGTATATTATATTAGGTATATTATGAGTAATAACACGGTTGCTTTCATATAGAGTGCAGAGCAAAACTCACCTTACGTCGACTGTTGAGTAGTTGTCGTCTCTTTGGACGAAATGGTGAAATATTGGCACCCTATGGGGTCTTCCACGGTTTGTTTACCCAAATTACAACGTACCGTGTTGAGAAAAAGTCGAAAGAACGGACTTATTGCATTCTTCATCAAAGAAAACAGTCGTCTTTTTCCAAACCACCAATGGTTTAAAACAGTTTTGACACGATATTTACTTTTAATAAACATCCAAGTCAAACTTTATTTTGTTATGTTAATAATCAGCTGTAACTCATTAATACGAGAATTCTGTTTGGGCATCAATAACAATGAGTGACACCGTAATTTGCAATATTGGACCATATTGAGAAACACGGCATCTGGAAACACTCCTGCTTCTTTGATGGAATGTGATGTTTAGCTGTTGTATCGTTTGTAATATAATCGATTTAAGAAAATTCGAGAACGTAGAAAGAAAATTCGAGAACATAAAAAGAAAATTTCAAATTTCCTGACCGCCACTTGACTTTCAATAACAAAAGATGCTTCCTGCTGATTACCAGAATTATCATTCAACTATCGCGCTGTTACTATTTTTTGTTTCTAATCTTCCTTACCCTGTTAAATTTCTTCATTAGCTTTTAGTGGATTAACAAGTCTTCAGCTTCCAATGAGTTTTAGTTATAAAAGCTACTAGAATATATTTCAAAAATAATCAGTGATTCTTTTTGGTTGAGTGCACATTTCACCTTAAATGTGGCCCATTAATCACCTTACTGAAATTATTCTTGAAGCTGATCAATTTTAAATATGAAAAAGGAACCAAAAGCCTTCGGTGTGATAATGAGTTTAAGCCTTTCTTTCCTGAAATTAACCATAACTATAAATATTTGCAGTAAATAAGCATAACATGCACCTCTTTTTTTTTTCTTTTTCACTTTGAAGATAAAAACTTTCCAGAATGTAATGGATGGAAACTTCATTTAAAATACTTAATCTTACTCTGTTAGATATTGAGAGTTTTGCGAAGAAATGAAGAGAACTTTGCTCATACAGTTGCTGGTTATGTTAAATGAAGAAGTAAATAAGTAAGTGAAATAGGTCGGAAAGGAAGCGAGCGTGAGTGGGTAAATTGCAAGTTGTACGTATCGAAGAAAGTGTGGTAGATACGTGACAGCAAATTTCCGAGTCTTATTAATTTATCAAGGCATCACATATTCTTGTTCCTAAAAGTATTTCAAGAACTTTTGGATACGGCCACAAGAATGAGCAAAGGATGATGAAATAAAATAAATTAGCCAATGAGCTTTAAATGTTCCTATGGCTCCCGTTTCTTATTAGATCGTAAAAAATCGAAGCGATGCATAGTTTGAGAATTTTGACAAGCCTCGAGTTTTTCTTTAAAATTTCCGGGTGCCCTTGATACAATGGGTTGTAAACGGTATAGAATGATTAAATTTACGTCATCAAGGTTAAAGTTGATTGAAAGAACTCAAGTAATTACAATCCTGAAGATTTTTCTAATTTTCATCTTGTATTGCTCCGAAAGCTCCCTAAAACAGTAAACAATGAACATCCAAAACGGCCGTTTGGAATCGATTTTAATTTAAAAATGCGAATTAAAGTTAATCAGCCCCAACGAAAATAAACAAAAAACCAACAAAATAAGAAACAAATAAATAAGTAAAAGTAGTAAATGGTCTTATAATGTATGTTTCAACTCAACTTGCTCTTCTAGTGTACGAATTGAAACATTACTGCCGATCATAGGAATGACGTCAACAATCTCAAAAACCACATTCAGGTGGTTCATTGAGATCCTTTCAACCAAGTTATGGTGGGCGTTAAGGTAATAGTTTCCATAATAGCTGTTGTTTTCTTTAGTAAAAGGCTTATTAAAAAAAAAAAAGAGAGAGAGAGAGAGAAAAAGACAAAAGAAAAGAAAAGAAAAACTTATACAGAGTAACAAGAATGACTATGTGTCACGCTAGTTTAAAGCTAACGTGACACATGCTGAACACAAAGGGGAAACCAAATAAATTACGACTCTAGATAGCATCGAACTCTTATGATTGACAGCAGGACAAATCCCAATGTTATCATCCATAATTTGATCGAGCACAAGATATCAATTCATAATGGCCTCTTAGAATCGGATGAACACTATATACTTTTGAACTGTTCAACCGCATTTGGTCTTAAATCGAAGACAAGTCTGTTTAAAAACAAGAACTGAAATTATAAGTTCGAATCGCAGTCTAAACCGCACCCATCCAGGGATAAAGATGTTTATTAATCTAGGTTCTCTTTGTGTGTGGTGCATAATTTGGCTCTAAAACACTAAGACTGTTTTTCATATTTAACCACTTCACCGCTGCATGACTTAAAAAAAGGGGAAAAAACAGCTTTGGCCGTTGAAACTCAACTCACCTAAAAATTCCGAAGATAAACTCGCCCTGCCGCCGAAACTTAAAGAGACCAACGAATAACCTCGTGGAATGACTGCTGTCCTCAGAATCTATAAATGTTTCTTGTCCTAATGTGTGTGGTAGTGTCTCCGTAAATAAAGAATAAGCGGATTTAAACCATTTCAGAGACGGAAGCTTTTAAAAGGAGTTCTACGCCGGATTAGCGACCCAAAGATTAATGGTCTAAAAGTGATGGCTGATTCATATATGAAATGGAAAATAAAATTTGATATATTTACATCAGTCTTATTGAGTAAATAAAAGTAATAACTAAAAAATGCAAATTTTGAATTTTTTACAATTCATCATACTGGATGCTGCAAGCGTATTAACAAGCTCACTACCATATACACTGAAAGGAATCATGCCCTAAAGTTTCTTCTTTCACCCCATACGCAAGTGATTCTCTGGAGTTAGAGGTAAACATTTGTAGGTTGTTTGCTTATGACCTGTTTTCTGAAATTGAATCCTTAATTCGCACGCTGCTATCTTAAAAAACTTTTTAACAAATGACGTTGAATTTTTTTTTTCATGGAAATTATTATGTGTGTTATGATCGGTCAACCAGCTAAAATAGTTGTCAAGGGCATTTTCCATTTTGTATTTACTTTTTTTATTATTTTATCACATTCTGTACCGTGTATTTTGACGGATGGTCGCGGGAAAATTCATCAAGTCAATTCTCTGTCAATTTTTCGAAAAAAAAAAAAGAAGATATTTAGCCGTTTGCAAATATTACAACCCCCAGAAAGACAGCCTGTTTCCCGTATTTACTACTTCGACCGCAAAATACCACCTGGTGACTTCGCCATGACGAAATTAAACCCGAACTTAAATATTGATGATCCAAATTCCCAAGTCCCTGTTCCAGCTTCCTAGTGTATAGACCCCATATCACCAGGATCTCCGCATCTTTTGGCATGAGCTTATCAATAACATCTATAATTACACCATTTCCACCTCGCTTGAGTTGCCTCAGTGGCTATGCAAATAAGTATAAATTTCAGTTCGCAAGTCCGTCACAAGAGGTCTTAGACGATGGATATAAACCGCTAAAGGAAACAATGAAAAACGCATCTTTCGATAACTAGAAGCTTAAAAACTATACGCCTAAGAAATATAATCCCATGACGTGACATTTCCTTTGGATCGCAATATTCATAAAACAACACCGTAACGGTTTTCCTTTATTCGACAATTACGCAGTTGAAATATCTCACTGTGTAAAAGTGAAACTTAAGCAAAGGAATATAAAGTTCGACTATTCGCTAGCAAAACAAAATGTAGCATTTTTAAACGATTCGTTCGACTGCCTGCATTGATAAGCTGTCTTACAATAAAATAAAGCCAAGCTGCACAATACCCTGCCACTCATTTACATGTCATTGAATAAAAAAACCTATATTGTGTTATGCCTCGATCTTCAAAGCCTCATGACACATGTAAATGAGGTGGACCAAAGTGGCAGGGTATTCTACAGTTGCTCCAAAATTGAACAGCTGTTCTGGTTCAATTTACACTCTGGTCACGTTGCGTTTTACCTTCGACAATTTGCCGCCATAGTTCTTAATTTAACAAACGTTAACATGGAAATTATGTAAAATCTTCTCCATTCAACCCCGAAGTTCTTATCACTTTTATTTTTGTACTTGTCGTTGAATTTTTTGGTGTCAGTGGGAGTGGGTAGAGGGGATGTTGATGACTAAACTAAGATTGAAGCATCTATCTTATCTCAGACAGACCAAGATGTTTTAAAATTACGCATACGCTCTAATCCAATTTAACGTACAGCGGCAGAAGAAGAAACACCCCCCTCCCCTTCCTAGATCTTCACACCAGCATAAACATATTCCTAGAAGTTGGCGGAGGCGTCAAAACTTATACGTTGAATCGTGCATAAATTTTAACTAATGGTTCAAAGCTGCGGGTGCTGTAATTATAAAGAAGGCCGTAACCAAGTAAAAAAACAGACAATTGACAATATTTTTGATGGACACTGGGGATTTGAACACCTGGGACTGAAATTCTCGGGCGCAGGTAAAAGATTACCAATTTTGATGTGAAAAATAAAATAACCAGAGGAAGATCCAAATTAACAAGGATCACCAAAAAAAGCAACAGCAGCAAAACAAAGCAATAACAATAACAGACCACCGAAGAGAAATAAGGCGGCGCCTCCTGTGAAAAGAGGTCATCATCTGGTCAAATTCGAAAGCGTCTCGAAGCGAAGACCTGCAAATGAATCTTTGGGATTTTTCGAGGCAGAGCGATGACATGATGTCAGAATTTTGATTTGCTTTAATTAATTTTCGCGCCAAGACTACTGAATTTGCATTCAACGCCTGGCATATTTTTATTCCGAAAAGGACCTGAGAACTAATTTACTTCCCTGCAAGAATATAAACAATTATGGCCGACGATTCGAAGATCAGCGTTGCTCGTGTTTAACTATTTCAGTCATAGTTTTCAACGTGGAGTCTCGTCACTTACTCAACATGGAAAATATGGGATATTTTGGCGCGTTGGGAAGTTTTTTGATGGGAGGAAATGGCAATTTTACAGGATATTTGGACGCTTCGAACTTTGTAGCAGTCAATTCAATCGAGAGCAGTCGACTTTATTGATGCATTTTCCTGTAATAGGTGAGTGTTTGGGATAGAGAACGACGGATTTTGAAGAACTGTATGGCGACCTTGGTCAATGAACAATGATAAAAGAACTGGCTCGGGAAGTAAGTGGTTTTTATTTATCGAGTCCCTGTGAGGTTTGATGAATAGCAAAATCAGTACTGAATATGTCTATCCCACTGCGCGGGATGCGAGCCCATATGGAAACCTGTCGGGTTTGTGTTTTGCTGGTGACGTTTTTGCGACTATATCTGGGTAAAATATCGAGCCTTCTGCGGATACTTAATTTTTTTCTTTGGAATAATTTGTTTGTAGGGTGAAACAAGGCCTGCAGAAACATCCGACGATGATCTGCCGCTAGCATTTGGAGAGAGGAGGTAAGTAGAAGTGGTCACCCCACTCGCATGGTGGTTATCGTTTCCACGCTTTTAGAAAGTACTAAAAGTTGTTTTCGGTATTTCACGTAGTTAGAAATTCCTTTTGTACGCATTGTTAGCTTTAATTACTTTTAAGATATCTGTGACTTTATACTTTATATTAATATCATATGTGAGGCATTAACATGGGGCATTGTGCTAAGGCTGAAGGTGGTCTTTATACACAGGTATAATCAATATTTCAGAGAGGAAGAACGAGTTAACCCAGCAGAACTGCCAGATCAGCCTCCTAGTGGCACTGAGCAGAATTCACTGGAACTGCCAGAACAGCCTCCTCTTGGTACTGAACAGGCTTCAATAAGTCTTGGCGAAGCAGCCGCCAATAAAGAGTGAGTTTCTTAGCCATGTTAAAATTACCCGTGGAGGTTGATTATTTAGGAGGCGCTGAAGAGTTTCTCAAGTGCGTCTAAGGGAATGAAACGCCAATCCTGTGTCGTTTTCTATGGACTAACCGTGTGTACATCCATTATACGCTGCTGCTCCCGTCATACACTAATTTACATATGATTGTAACATCATGAACATTGCATGAAAACTTCTACCATCCCGCTAAAAGCCCCCTTAAATAGTTGTTCCTTGCTATCTGCCTAGGGAACCTGTCCCGTACGAGGAGCATATGAGAAATGCATCAGAGGAAACAATAAAAGCTATGTAAGTACAAATTGATCGAGTTATGCTTGGTACATTCTGCTTGATTGTCTTTTCCTTACCCTACAGAGTGCTAAGCACAACCTTTTATGTGCAGAGATCCGTTAGTTGATTTTACTATTTTGACTTTGGCAGTCAATTATTCGTTTAAGAAGCTAAATACAATCGGGCCGACTGCTCGTTAGTAGACCGATTTAATGCAGGTGTCACCGGCATACTTTTGGGAATTATTCAAATTTCACGGGCGTTACGCCTCTTTGATCATTTCAAATTTATTTCAGGGCTACTTGTGACGAGCCTGTTACAGTCTTAGGGGAGTTCAGGCGAAGGTTACAGCGAGGGCGAATGCTTGACCTTCAAAGCGACTCTGAAGTGTGTGAGGGAAAGACCACGTAGATATTTGTCTCTCGTTACCGCCTCTTCGATGATGCAATGGAAAAGATATTGAGAGATAATCCGCCAGCGATTGATTTCAGTGTACCTTTAGAGGTGATCTTCACCGGCGAGGGCTCTCAAGATTATGGTGGTCCAAGGCGGGAATTTTTGGGCATGGTGATGCGCGAAATACGTGACAAGCTCTTCAAGGAAGAAGGAGAAGGCTACGTTATTTTTGAGAAAAAAGAAGCATTGGACAGGAAACAGTGTTATGGAGCTGGCCTCTTTTTTGGTAAATATGCAAAGCCTATTTAGACACCTACGTCATTTTCACTTAAGCACACAAGAATTTAAATTTGCCTTTTTATTGCAGGTTTCAGTTTGTTGCAAGGTGGTCCTTTGCTTACTTTCCTTGCTGAAGACCAGCTTGAGCGAATCTTCACCAAAGATGATTTGACTAATCTGGGGGAAGCGGAAACCCAATTTCGGGTAGGACTCGAGAGATTCGGACCCGTTTAGGTAAGCTTTCACGGTGACCGGTTGTAACTGATGGTCTTCACCCTTTACTAAGGCAAGAAAACCAAATTCAATTATGACTACAGTCTCTAACAATTTTACATAGATTCCATGAATCTTGCTTTTCTATTAATCTGTTAGCTCCTTCATAGGAAACCGAGTCTTTCATTCCTCTTCAGAAAGACAGCAGTGCTGCCTATGACATACCCCAAACTGGTGAAACTGCTGGACCCTAATTTTTCCGACGAAGCGACTAATCGAAGACAGCGGGAAGAAAAAACATACAGACTCTTCCTGAATTACTTGAAAGAGGTGTAAGGTAACTGTCGTTTCTTTTGTCTGGTCTGAGAAACATCATCGCTAGCTAGACAAATGTAACTTTGCTTTACACCAATCGAAATTTCCACAGAGCGCGTAAAAAAGAATTGGGATTTAGAGCTTTATGAGTGCACTGCTATTTTTTGTGTTTTTCTCTTTTTAGCTGGAAGAAGGTTAGATGGCAATATATCTCTCCATTGTATTTTAAAGTTCGTCACTGGATGCGAGAACGAGCCTGTTCTGGGTTTCCAAATGAAGCCCACTATTTGTTTTGATACGAATATGCCATCTTGCCTTCGTATGGGCAACACTTGTATTAGTAGGCTGACTTTGCCGATAGGTGAGAATGTATCAATGACCAAGGAAGAAGTGTTCTCTTTCTTTGACTACGCTTTCGCAAATGATTACTTTGGCCGTCTCCAATTGAAACTACTGATTTCTAATTGACTCTCTTTGACAAGGTGTTTTTTTATTTATAAGTTGAATTTAGTTTACAGCAGCACTTTATAGGCGAAAATTCTGAAATGGGCCTGAGATGAACGAAATGGAAATACATTTAAAAGAGCAAAGTTTATGTGTTAATGATGCCAAATAATCATCCAACTTAATACAAAAGAGAAGCGAGGGACGTTTATTGCACAATTTTTAAAGCCGTTACGTTTTAACTTACTATACTGTTTAAAAGTCCCAATTGATACATGTCCCATGGATCTTCGCCTTGGACTTCTGACATGCTTGCCTGAAAAATCGTAAACGAATCAGCATCTAACGGACACCGTGTTGGGGGGACAACAACCTCATTCTGTAGTGCAGCATCTGTGCTGTCATGAAAGTAAGCCGTAGGATCCACACTGTATCCCTCCAAGTCCCTCTGAAATATAGTTGAAAGGAGATTTAAATACCGCAAAACACTGGTTATGACTGCCTTAAATTGACTTTGCAAACAAGGAATCTTGGCATCGTTTCGATGGTATCCAATTACCTCGCCACCAAGCAGACTCGCCAACAGCGAACTCGCCACCAAGGAACGATCTCGCCACAAACGTACTCGCCACCAAGCGAAGTCTTCTCGTCATCTGTATTTAAATTGAAGGGGTGGTTAATTAAAACTCAATATTTAGTGCAGGCCACTTGAGACTGTTCACCTGTGTGGCTTTAATGCCTGGGGAACTTTGTCTATCATGTGCATTATTGCGTTTACCTGAATAAGGCTTTGAAAGTATTCTGATGCCACAATACCACTTTCTTCTGCAATTTCTGGCATCCCTAGTATGAACAGTTGTAAAGGACTTTTGTTTCCTGCAGTACGTATTTTGCGATTATTCCAGGATAGCACAAATTTTGAAAGGGCCTCGTTGATTACTGGGAGATAAGTGAAGTGAAGGCAAAATAGATGCCCTTCGTTGTCCGGATAGAGCTGACCGCATGCTTCGAGAGAAAGGAAAAGGTCGTAAAATGAGGACAGGACTAACTTGTACACATCACGCCAGAGTCTTTCTATACGCGAGTTGTGCTCACTTAGTCCGGTGATGTAACTCCCTCTTCTGGGCCCTCTCGCTATATGGCTCAACATGTGCCACGTCTCTGTTTTCAACTCCCATGTCGCCCCTGACTCGTGATGGCAATCCCCATTCAGACACTGCACCCTCAAAGAAACGCAAGACTGTGTCAGACGTGTTATTCGTATCGCACCTAAGGTAAACGACGGAGCGACTGTAACCGTCAATACAGCCGTGAACCACGAATCGCCATCTAAGAAGAGAAGGAATAGAGTGGCAAACCGAAAGTATATGTTAATAGCTTGTGAAGGGGGGAGGGGGGGAGGTTGCTCCTAAAACAAATGGTGCAAAGTTATTGAGATCTAAATTATAGCAACAAATATGTCATCAAAATAGTGAGATAGGTGACAGGTATCAGTTTGTGATTCCCGTCCATATGCCAGAGGGTCAGTGAGGAAAGTAAGTTATATATGTGTCTACGGATGGCATTCATAGACCTTACCCTCCTACTAATGTGATCGACTCTCTTTATGGCACTCCTTAGTCTCCACCTCTGCACACGTGCACCTTGGGAAACAAGGTAACCCTCGATTGTTTTGCAACCTGTCAACAAAAATAAGAGTTTTAATTTCAAGCACCCTGTGACACAGTAGTGAAGCCAATGCCACTTGTCGGTGCTTTCTTGAATTCTCTGTTTAAAGGATACAAAGTGTGTTTCTGATATGCAAAATTTTGTGTAAACACTGCGGCGGGGCTTAAAAGCTCTTGCCTGTAAGTTGATTACGTTTTGAATGGAAGTTTTCTTTGCTTAGCCTTAAAGGCAAGAAGAGAAACGTCACAAGTCACGCAACTCTAGTCAATGTATCTAGTTTGTACCAAACTCAGTCTGTAGCAATAATAATAATAATAATAATCGCAAAAATTAATAGTTGAGGTAAAGAATGTAAAAATAAATAAAAATATAAATAAATACGTCTACTGAAACAAACGACGAAACAGCCAGGTGTCCTGTCAATTGTCTGAATTATGCAATAGTTTTTATACAGCAAGTTGCGACCGTAACAGATCGAACGGTAAAACTCGACCTAGATTTGGACAATTACGTACAACTACGTGCATTACGGTGTCCGCACTAGCCTTCCTTAATACGTGATGACTACGGAATGAGAAAGAGCACAGGGAAGATAGGTATGTATGCGCGCTAAACCAACTCAGTAAACAATATTACTGTGGCAAACACTATTTTTAGAACGCGAAAAAAAACCTTTAACTGTTTCCGATCCAGACATGTAATTTACCTTTGATCGACAAAATAAAAATAGATCTTACTTTTAATATCACTGCACTCAGGAAAAATTAATAAACAAAGCAATATAATGTACACTTCTTTAAAATAATAAATATAAGCAGTCTTCTCCTAGCTTACTCTTATCGTCCGGCACACCAATTAAAGCATTCCGATTATCACTTTCATTGAAAAATGTCAAAACAGATCAAGGATATCAGTTTTCGTACCATGGCGTCCAGGGCACACACAAAATTCAACTTCTCATGTACTCCTCCAGTGTTCAAAGAGCCGTTGAAGTTGAACTCTCGTTGAAAAGTAAGCGTGAGTCAGAGAAAGAAAAGAGAGCTCGACAATCGACATTTAATGCACGTCATAACACTACTTAATACTATACACATATTCAGGCCCACCAACACGTGCAAACTGTGGTAAACCGGGAGGCTGGCAAACCGTGGTGGAATTCAGTCTTGTTGCTATTTTAATTGACGCTTTCATGAACGACAACGAATAAATACAATATCGGCGGGGAAAAAAGAGGAGAGACTTACCGAATTGGCTCTGCTTTACGGCAAAGCTAAGTGGAGACTATTCAATACAGCGACTAAGCCATGTGATGGTTTCGCGGCAGTCTTCACATTTGATGACGTCATGCCCCCAGCAGATCGCTGTTCCATTTGCGGTTTCTGTTTTTGATGGTTTCGGCGAGATAGCCTTGGCGGCCGTCACCACCAAAAATACAAGGATGTCAAATAGATCAGCAAATACAAAGATGGCTTAAGGATCAGCTGCAGGATAGCATAGCTAATAAAGGAATGGCATGGCCTTCACGTCACGCCACAAGCAAGCTCGACGATTCGCCACAACATCGAAATATTTCAAGTAATACTAAGCAATTTGATGTTCAGATAGAGCGTCTGATGTTCTGCAAAGCTATTCGACCTAACGCTACACTATTTGTGTTTATGCTGTACCATTCTACATTACGCTGAGCCATTTCACGCAACGCTACACCATTTGTGTGTACACTGTACCATGCGACATTACGCTAAGCCACTTGACGCAACGCTACACTGTTTGCATGTACACTGTACCATTCGACATTACGCTGAGCCAATTTCACGCAGCGCTGCACCACGTGTGTGTACGCTGTACCATTCTACATTAAGCTGAGCCATTTCACGCAACGCTACACTGTTTGTGCGTACGCTGGGTTACTCGACGTTACCCTGAGCCATTTGACGCAACGCTACACCGTTTGAGTACTGTATTGCACATGAGTGCTAAGCTATTCTTAATTGATTTACTCCATTTCACAATTTTATGTTCCAACTCGACATGGGCAACTAGACCGTTTATCATTTGGCTAAACTATCCATTTTTAGGGTGTTCTGTTTCACGAGGGAAAACTAAACCGTCTATAATTTGGCCATGCCATTCCTTTATTAGCTATTCTATCCTGCAGCTGATCCTTACACCGTTTTTGTATTTGCTGATCTATTTGACATCCTTGTATTTTTGGTGGTGACGGCCGCCCATAGTTTTCATTAGTTAGTGGTTGGATGATTTTAAATTTTATGTCAATGTTTGACAATAATATTAACAGAAAAATATTCAGTTTTTTGTTGTGGGCTTTCAACTGAAACAAAGGCATCATTTCACTTTTACGTTTTAGAATGTACTTATGAACTGTGACTGTATCTTGTCAAGGTCACATTTTGTTTCCCTTTGAACTGGAAAGTATACTACTTGTTTATAGGGAATCTGCTTGCTCATAAAAGATGGAAGCTGGAACCTTAAGTGGAATCTCTTTAGGAGATCACAGTTAAATCTTATCCAAAAAATATGCTAAATGTATGAAATTATTGGATATTTACTTATTATTTAGCTGAACTTTAGAAATACAGTCGAACATTCTTATTACCACAATTTTTTTTTAAAGCAATTAGGAATTTCTCCTGTGGAAAGATACCTACTATTTCTAATACGAAGATCCCTTTACTTTTTGATGTAGGGATCATTGCAAATGCCTGTGTGCGATATTTTTACAAGTACACATTCCTTGTTACTTGTGCAATAGCAATTGTTTGTTGCCCCTCCAGCTCAAGTTTAGTTGTAGCAAACCTGGAAAATACCCTCTGAATTGGCAAAAACGATGCTGTCCCCACCTGGAAGGAATTTATTTTTGTAGATTTTAATTGGGTTTGCAAAATAAGATTCCTTACGGGCTAAAAAACCATCTTAAACAAGCAAAGTAGTGCGTGACATGTTCCTCTCCTAGCTTGAATGAATGTGTAAAATAATACTGAACGATGCCTGGAGATAAAAAACGCGTCTTGAAGGACTTTTTCATTCTTTGCTGGCCAAAATGCTAGTATCTTGGCAGAACGTATTCCTCTTGTTTGTATTTTGGACCCATACGTAGGTAACCAGATTTTAAACGAGCCAAATTTATATATAGTTTCTGTGAGTTGACTTGCTTCAATTCGTCCCTCAAGGTACAACACTTTGTAGACGGTGGTCAGTAATTTCAAATCATCGGTATCAAAAGAAACAAGCTTGTAACATGGCGAAACACTAATCTCCGATTTATTCAACAAGTTTATTCCACGTAGTGGCACATTTGTTGCAATATAAGAAAATTCATAGATCGTAAGCCAGTCGGAAGGTGAAACATCAGGTGAACGAAATTTAAAATCTCCTTTAAACTGGTTTTGTAGTTTCATGTCCTTTGGGAATCTTAGTATGAATTTTCTCATGATTTGGAGTTCGACAGATCTCTTGTTTGTTGTTATACTGCCTAGTATTCCACTAAATTGTTCAAAGCTAAAACACCAAAAGCTAGTAACTGGTCCGTGGTCGAGAATAACCTCTTTCAAATGGTTGTGCATGTACATATTTGGGGTAATGACATCTTTTCCATATAGAGTCTCCACTGACTTGCAAAATTGAAGAATTAATCCGTCGACAATGTCAAGTTCTGTTTTTGTAGTAGCAGACTTGCAAAAAATATCTACATACAAACACAAATGTCTGCCCGCACCGGAAATGTTCCTCTGGTAGAATACTTTGAAGGCAGAAATTAGAGTAAATGAGTGTCCAGTTCTTCCACTGCTCTGCTGCATATGAACCACAATTCCTCGTTATCCTCATCGGTAATCGTCCAATGTCACTAGGAACCTCAAATGATTTTATTCTTTCCTCGATTTCGTTCAGTTGGCTGGGCGAAAAAAGTTTTGAGTATGTCCATAGTTTGAACATTCTTTTGACAGTTCCGAGAAAGAGATTGTGCATAGGATCAACCGTGCAAAATCTAATAACATCAAGGTAATCGAGTCGCAGTAAAATGCTATACTAGGCGATTCCACTTTGTTGCCCCAGCAAATTTCGTCGCGCTTTTGTTTTGCACTGAGTAATGGGTATTCGACGATGTTCTTCATTTGTGCGAGGTTTCCATAAGCTTCTTTTGAATTCAGAGTAATCTCTTTTTCCCCAAAACCACCTAAAAACTTCAACGTTCCAAGTTGAGCTGAATGCCCCTTGAATCCACAGATCTTTCTCGTCGTAGGAACGTCAGTATATACACACAAAACGGCATCACGAAACATTAGAGCAAATCTACTAAGGTTAGCTTTGAACTTGACCCATTTCCACAAGGCTTTCAACTCATCCACAGCTGGCTCAAGAAATTTATTTCAATCTTTGGGTTCTCTGCTCAATGAAGGAACAACGCCTACAAAAACGATATTCTCCCATTTGAACCGTTCAGACCTAGGTAGATTTAAAATTGCCAAGTAAAACACTCCGACGGAATAATCCTTACAGTGTTCATCGGCTGGAAAAAGTGAAAGGTCAATATAAACCCATAATTTCGTGGTTTACTCAAGAAAGGGGAATCACTGACGTTCTGGAATTCTTTCCATAGATTTCCATCAAAAAAAAAGCTAAGGTATTTGATCCCACTTTTTGTTTTCTCCACACTTCGCAATTTGTGGGAAAGTCTTTTCTCAAGACCAACTTCTCCAGTTCGTCTATGATGCTGTTGCTGCAGTAGTACTTGGTGGGGTAGAAGCAAGTTTTTCCATTATGAAGAGTAACCTTTGTCACGAGTGGCATTACAAGTTAGTTTTCTTCCTCTAGAGTAATGAGTGTCGCTACATTTTTTTGCCACCTGTCGATTGTTTATCATCGAAATTCAGGAGTCGTACTTATACAGTTTTGTACACTTTGGACAAACCACAATCTTATTGAAATCATCTCTATCAACATTTAAGAATTGCCTCAAAAGGTAAAAGGATCCAGAAAGGCTCATCATTAATTTCTCAAAAGCTTCATCGGAAATTTCTAAGCCAAGAACCCCTGGCCACGAGACAAAGAAATTGAGCAACCAAGCGAGACCATTATCGCTCTGGGCCCATTTGTTCGAAGGCCGACTAGCGCTAACTCAGGAGTAAATTGTAATCCAGGTTTCTTTATTCCTTTGTTCAAAAACCTTTTAGAGACAATTTTCCCTATTCTCGTTAGAACATCCAGTGATTAAATTGCAAGCAAAAAGATTTGAACTGCATTTTCTTTTAAAGCTTTCAGACCTGAAATCAAATTTCAGACTAACTCTGGGTTATCTATAACAACCCAGGCCAGGTGGCAAGTCGCCTACCAGATTAGCAGAAAATAAACGAACCAAAAAATTAATGAATTTTGGCGGCCTTGAGCTTCCGGAAGACAAAATTTGCTATTCCTGGCCTATGCAAGTGTTGGCTAATTTGTCATGCATTTCCTATTAACAGTTCAGATTACAATAAGACTATCTTTAGTGTGTCAATTAATGATGTCAAAACAGCGAGACTTATTAAATTCTCACCATAAAGTTAAATTAAATGTATATTGATTAAACACCCTCTTTTGTGCAAAAAAAAGAGACTACTAAAAGGATGCTGAAAGATTTGCATTATTAAAGTTCAACGTATGTTCAAGTAAAGATTCATGAAAGATAATTTTTAGCTTTTGGACTTTTTGGTTTACAACCAAAGACGCCTAAAGCTTAAGTCAACCTTTAAGGATGCTTTAGGTTTTGGCCTAAAGGCACCGAATAAAAGCATTCGTTATGTAATATTTGTTGAAAGTAAATATCGTAGCCAGACTTCAGAACAAGACGAGGTAAGTTTCGGGCGCCGAAGGCGCGAGCCACTAGGGGGGTCTGGGGTCGTGCTCCCCCCAGAAAATTTTGAAATCTAGAGGCTCAGAAATGCTCTTTCAAGCATTTCCCGTGGCATTTTTCTTCAGAAAAATCAATCTTGGAACCAAAATCAAGACGAGGCAATTGCATTGAGTATCATACAGAGTGAATATCTTTCTCATGTAAACTTATATATCCGCTCTGTTGTATATCCTTATCACCCAAACTTCGATATATATTTTTTTCATTAAAAGCTCGCTAATTAGATTAACTTTATGAATACGTAAGCAATTTAAGCAATTTTGTGCTTTCGTGTTCCAATGTGTATGAAGATTCGACTTGTTTGTCAGTTCTAGGTCTGGGAGAAAGGAAACATATTTTCTTGTCGCTGATTCCAAGAAGTGCACTCTTGAACATCATTACAATGAACTCTACTGTTACAGTGAACTCCTCTGACGGTAAGTCGAATCTCAAACATTTTGCGGAATTGAAAAAGGGCTTTAAAAGAGAGCAGAAAATTATCTAGGTTGTTATGTGAACAGTTTTATTTTTCGTTATTCAGCTATCGTCTGCTCAGTTTTACTGTTTTTACAAGACTGACATAGCTGCTCTTTCCGTTCAATTCAACTCTTGTCGTTCAAATTTTGTCTGTCTTTAACGTGTTTGACGAGATTATGAAGCATATTTTTGGCAAAATGAACAATTTATTGTATGGTTTATACTAGAAAGGAGGGGTTCATCGGATACATTCAAGGGTATGTTATGTCCTAAGGAACATTTAGCGGTCACCTGTTACTCCGAGTGTAACTAGTTTGAACCACAACTTGAAAGCTCTTACGGTTTGGGTACGGCAATAGCGCCTCAACTCCAAGGGTCTCGGCAAATCTTTAGGCTGGAACTCACGGCCTTTAATTCCATTTCATTTTACAAGACCTTCGAATGAGGATGAGAGCGTAAATTTCGCGTTTATACGGGCTTCTAAAGCGAATTTACAGCATATGAAATGATGAATAATCAACGGGCGCGTTGCGTTGTAGAATCATTGTTTGGCAGTGACAAAATGCCCGGCACGGTCTAAAATAGACTAAAAGAATAAATTTTCACGCAATCTCCGCCGAAAGGTTCTGTCAAAAATTTTTAAGAATATCAAATGTTTGCAAAGGAATGTCAAGCGAATTTGGTTTTTTAGTGATCAAATTCTCCGAGGTTGAGCAGACTTTAATATCGCTCGGTTGTCGACAACTTAGAAATTCTACGCTTCTGATCAGACTGCCGGGCACGGTCTCAAATGGACCAAATGCTCGGCAGCCAGAAATGTCTCTGAAAGGTTCCTTCAAACTTCTTGAGAGTATCAGATGTTTATTAAGAAATGTAAAGCGATTCCAAAAATTAATTTTTTTTTTAGTGGAAAAATTATCCGAGTTTGTGCATACTACAATATCGCTCGATTGTCGCCACTTTGAAATTCTACGCTTCCGATCAGACGGCCGGGCACGGTCTCAAATGGACTAAATGCCCGGCAGTCAGAAATTTGAATCAAAATGCCACTGAAAGGTTTCTTCAAACCTCTAAAGAGTATCAGATGTTTACCTAGAAATGTCAAGCGATGCTAAAAATTGAGTTGGTTTTTCAGTGATGAACATGTGATAAAACTTAGGAGGTCAGCCTGATTTCGTAGAATACGTTGTCTTCGTGACAACTGTGGCGTGACAGCAAGGGTCAGTACGTTAGAACACCTTCAGGTTCCGTAAAAACTGGGGGGAAACAGTACAAAAAACCTCAAATAAACTTATTAATAAAACAGTATTCGATGTTTGTTTAGATTTCCCAAATGATTCTAAAATTATTTAGTGGTCAAACTTTTCGAGCTGATCGAACCACAAAATCGCTCGATTTGTCGACTCTTGAAGACTTGCCGGGGGTGTCCTAAAGGATATGGACCCCCCTCCGCTAGCGGATTTGGACCCCACTCCGCGGATTTGGACCCCCCAACAAAACTGAGTGAAAGCATATATCCTTAACGTTCTTTAACAAATAGAGAAGCCTTGACTGTGCTCTGTTCTGTTGTAAAGCACGCAGGAAGCGGTTAGAGCACGAAAGAAGTGTAGGGAGAAACACTCGACTACGTCTGGTGTTTCTCCCCACTTCTTGAGCGTGGCTCTGCATTGTTTGCAGACCGCCAGGCTCTAAACATCTTTGTAAATGTTATGGGGTTATTTCGGATCCCTCGACAGTTAATAATCGTTAAAATTAGAAAAAAGATTGAGTTCAATGTCATAGTCTCCGCTTTTGTTAAGACGTAGACATAAATGTTGATTTGCATTGAAAATAAGCTGAGAGTTCCAATAGTTCAGAGTAGAAACATTTTTACCTATCATAGTTTACTAATGACTTGTAGTAAAAGTAGTTACCACGTTCTTGTTTAGAAACTGTTTAGACTGACTTATTTTTGTGACTGGACGCAACAGTCTCCTCTATTGTTATGACGTTTCGTCTGATTCGCATCGGAAGAAGCAAAGATTTATTGTAACAGTCTCAATGGTTCTAATGCAGTAGTTTGCTCGCATCGAATTCTTACGTATACTGTTCGACACGCTATAATGAATGCAGCAGAATTGGAACGAAATGGCTTTTCCTTTTTTACCTGTATTGAGGAATGCTGTGTTGTGATTGAAAAGAACATAGACAGAAAGCCTGCAAAAAGAGGATTAGTTACCAAATATGATAAAAACGATGCTTAAAAGGAGGTCCAAAATCTGCGAAGGGGGTCCATATCCGCTCGCGGAGTGGGGGGGGGTGTCCAAATCCGCGGGGGTCCAAATCCGCTGTGACACCGGGTACGGTCTCAAATGCACTAAATACCCGGAATCGCTTGACATTTAACAAACATCTGATACTCTATAAAAGTTTGATAGAATCTTTCGGTGGAGGTTGCGTGAAAATGTTTGA